ATGCAGCTGGCGCTGTGCTGTGTTTCTTATCCTTTAGGTTCTCGTATTGATCAGTGGAAGAATTTAAGTGGAATGATCCTCTCTCAGTCAGGTAAACAGAAATAAATCTGCATAGCCCAAGGTTTTTTGAGTGCCATTTGGACATACTGGGGGAAATGTAAGACAGCCAAGAGTTGGTTAAGCAGAAGCTACCAGCCTTATTGGAAGAGAAGTCCATCGCTTGACTCTTATTACGACATTAACCCATCAAACCACAATAGCATCCGAGTGCCTTTAATTTGCAGTTTCTCACATGCAAATCTCCCCACTCATTAATCAGCTAAATGTGTCTGAGTGTTTATATGCTGCCTCTGCAGCCAGAGGCTCTACAATTAAAAATTATAAAATGAGATACATAATAAGGCAGCTATTAATGTGTAATTTTGGCAGATCAAATGATGGATCTAGCATCGCACAAACTGTTTGGCTGCTCAGAAACCAAGTTTCTCCCAGTCTTCTGACCATCCTGCACAGCCACGCTTGCCAGTCCTCTCCTCTCCACTCTCAGGTAACAGGCTGGAGGTGAGTTGGTGATGTTTTTGGAGAGTTCAGAACGAAAGACTTCGGGTGAGGCCTTCTTGCAGCCAAGAACGCATCTCACCTCAAATCCTTTCTTGTAGAAACGGAATTTGCATTAGATAATGTTGAAGATGTGCCCAAGTGGTGGGGCTTAAAGCAGGTGGGGACAGGCTTCCACCAGCTCCGCTTGGATCGGGGCAGCATTTATGAGTGATACTGAAAATCAGAATGAAGTGTTCGGTTTTTCCTGTCCCTGTCCCCGGCCTTTTTCCTAGTACATGGCCTGGTTCCTGGTTTGATAACATCTCTGGGGAAATTATATCTTCCAGGTCTCTGGACATCTGGGATACTGTCATAGCAGCAACCTGGCTGAGGAAGAAGAGGAAGGGGAGGGAGGGAGACACCCTCTGTCCCTGCTGCCCCCACTTCTTTTCTGCCCTCAGAAGATGACTGTGGGGGGGGGGAGCCCCTGCCTCATAGGAGAGTTTGCGTGTTGACTGTAGAGTGATGGCCACTGCTTGACCGTATCAAGCAGGAGCATTTTTGTCTGTAGTGATATTTAGAGCTATTATGCAAGGGGGGAGTTGGTGCTGATGCTGCTAATGAAAGATCGGCAGTCATTTCCCCCCACCAAGGAGCGCCTGCGCTTGAATAAACATCATCTGAAAATGCTGACATGCCGAATGCGGAGATGCAAATTATGTTCGTGCATCTCCATTTGCAATTTTGCTTTGGTCCACTGGGCACCACTGCTGTCCTGGGGTCAGATTCCAGTCTGGCATGCAAGGCAGCACACGGCCTGTCAGCGCAGCATCCCAGGATGGGCGGGGGAGTGAGGAGGATGCCCAGGGCTAAGTCTTGCCAGGCAGGAGAAGAGGAGGGGACCTTGCAGCAACATATAGGGCGGGAAGGAATGGCACATGGTTGAGGGTCATGGCCTGCTCTCCCCTGCGGTGGAGGAAAGGACGTGGTCCAGTGGGGCAAAGCTCAAGGGACTGGGTGCCAGGTTGGATGTCGGAAAGAGATTCAGTGGTTCTAGGAATGGCGTCTTCCTTGGATAACCTGGCAGATTTAAGGCTGCCTGTTGATGTGGATGTTGCTGGAGTGTCTGGGCTGGGGCTTTCTGTGCTCTCCGCGTTCCTGGTGAGGGCTTGTGCAGTGCTGGCTCCCTGGCACAGTCCTGCTGCTGCTGCTGCTGCTGCTCTGGATGCTCAGAAGGGAGCCCGTGGCTGCTGGTTGTGCATGGGCACAAGGGCGGGCAGACTCGCACACAGGCTACGAGCTGCCACGGGCACTGTGGGCGAGCTCCCTGGAGTGGGCCGGGCTGCCCTCCTGGTTCTTTGATTCGGGGCAGAGCCCCAGGAGGGTGCCGGTGTGCTGCCTGACCTGCGGGGCCACTGGGCAGGCCGGCCTGCGTCCGCGTGCACGCGGTGAAGCAGCTCGTCCCCTGGCACTTCCCAGCTCCACGTGCCTGAGTCCCACCCGCTTCTTCTGCGCCACTCGCTTTGCACACGCCTTTCTGCGGGATGGTCACGCAGGCAGGCGATTCGTATCGCTCCTTTAATGTTCAGCCGAAGTGCGTCTCCCCAGAACTTTCCAGCCTAATGCAGCACTTCGGGTGTTCCTGTTCTTCCTATACTCTCACAAAGAAATGTTTTATCTGGAAGATCAGCACACCTCCTGCTGAGGACAGCCTGGCCCTGGTTGATTTTAATAAGTGTGCACTCACTTGAGCACTGGAGGAGGAGACGGGCTTGCTCCCGTTCCCATTTTCACTGGATGGCAACACCCGGGGCATCAGCTGGCAGTGAAGTGAAGGGATTATATATTTTATGGGCTTTAATTAGGACTGAAATATTAAATGGCTTTTCAATACCCAGGCTAAATTAACTGGAATCGGATGTTATTAGAGGAGGCTGCTCTAATAGACTGGCTTTGATGGGCTTATTTATACGCGGCTAACAGGTCATTACCCCAGAGCTGGGAGGGGCCGGCACCAGAGCACCAAGCGACCCAGGAGATGGTTGCTGGCAGGGTGGGAGGCCCCCTGGCCTGCAGTGAAGGAGGGAGCCCGGGAAGAGGGCTGGGGAGGGCAGGAGGCAGGCAAGCTGCTGGCTGCCGCTGTGGGCGCCCTTGCGTGCGCATGGCTGCTGGCTCCAGGCTTTTGCGCTCCGGATGACAGAGTTGCATCTTGTAGGCAACCATGTCGCCTACGGCAGCTTGCCTCAGCTAATTAGCCCTTATTTAGACAAACGCTTGTGCCATTTCCAAGGTCCCCTTCAGAGGGCTTCACAAGCGCTCACCAGGGACACCGAGTGCTGCGCCAGTCACACGCGGCAGCCCAAATGGACCTGCGTGCCTTCCCCCAGGATTTGCCCTGTTCTGACCACTTTCCTGCAGAGTCGCTGCTGGAGCGCTTTTGGGACGGGCAGTTGTGTGTGCGTGCATGAGAGAGGGAGGGTGCAGAGGAGCAGGAGGACGGGCTGACTGGCACGGATGCCGCAATCCCAGCTGCACAGCTCCCCATGTGGGCCAGGGAATCCCTTTCATCACGCAGAGGGCATCCTGCCCTCCAGGACCCACCCCAAGCACTCATGTGGAGTGTGCCTGAGGCGGCAGTGTTGTGGGGCAGTCTCCCTCCTTTGCCTCTGGGTCAAAGCATCCCAGAGGCTGTCTGCCGGGCCCGGTCAGTGTCAACAGTGGAGCAAGGACCCGGTTCTTGATTGCAGGGCAAGTGGCTCTGCTGGGGAATGCCAGCTCTTCTGGAGTTGCACTCCCTTCGAACAAACAGGCTAATAGCTGGTGGTCCTGCTGGAGCCTTGAGGCCGAGGATGTCTCCGTGGCACAGAGAGCCTTCTACCAGCTTTGCCTGGTGGCCCAGCCATTGCCCTCTCTGGACAGGAATAACTGGGCTTCAGTAATACACTCTGCACGAGGCTGTTCGTGAAGACTTTGTGTGGCATTTTGTGTAGCACAGAAGTAGCACTTTGTGCAAAATGTGGCAGCCAGATTAATAACCTGAACTGGAAGACCTGGACAAAAAAGACCCCTTCTGGCTTGCTTGCATTGGCTTCCTGTGTGCTTCTGAGCCCAATTCAAGGTGGCAGTTCAGCCTGTGAAACCCTGGACCGCATGGGGCTGCAATGCCAGCTTCAAGGGAGGACTGGCAGGGGGCATCATGGAAGAGGGCCTGCTCAGTGGCAGCCCCCAGGTATGAATGGTCTCTCCACTGGGCTCTACTTGGGGCCAGTGCTGTCATCTTTTTGGCACCAAAATAAGACTGCCCTATTTTTTATTGTTTTAGTTTGCCAAGCAGTTTTCAATTTCCTATGGTAGAAAACTCAGAACAAATCTGACCAAACATGACTTAGAGCTCTTTATTGAGTTCTGTGGTGATTAAGGCGGCTAAGAAGTGTTTTTACACCACCTGTACTGCCTCCTGGAATGCCAACCAGCAGAGCTTTTCTGAGTGGATCGGGGCCTTTTACATGCTGGCCCCAAAAAAGGACTTGTTGAACCTTCAGTGGCCCACAGTGATGAGTTTGCTCCACATTTCCAGGATAAGTTTGCTCATATCTGCTCTGACTTGGACGCCACAGTTGCTGCAGCGCTGTCTTTGGAAGTGTCCGGTGCGCCATCGGGTTCACCGGACACTTCCGAACACTTTGGGTTCACCGGACGCTTCGGGCTGGATGAGGTTTTGCCTTTGTGGTCTGATGATGTGGACAAAATGCTTGGCCAAGGCTGGCCTCCCACCTGCTTCTTTGCACCTTGCCCATCTTGGCTCATCGAAAGATCTAGGGAGGGGGTCTGCACCTGGGTCCTGGATGCTGTAAATGCCTCCCTCTGAGAGGAAGTGCTGCCAGTTGCATTAAAAACGGCTGTGGTTGCACCGCTTCTTAAAAACAAGCTTGGACCTGGCTGGCATTGATAACTAGAGCAATAGCCAACGACCCCTTCCTGGGCAAGGTGATCAAGTAGGTGGTGACCAGGCAACTCCGAGTGCTTTTGGAAGAAATGGATTATCTGGATCCGTTTCAGTCGGGTTTCAGGCTTGGTTTTGGGACTGAGACTGCCTTGGTTGCCCGTGACAGGACCTTTGCCAGGAGAGAGGCGGGCAGAGCGACCCCGCTGGCGCGCATGGGCCTCTCAGCGGCTTTCGATACCATTGCCCAGGGTTTCCTGGAGCGGCCAGCTGTGTTGGGAGTCGGGGCCACCATGTTGTGCTGGCGTCACTCCTGCCCGGGGGACTGTTCCCAGGTGGAGGTGCCAGGCGATTACAGCGCTCGTGCAGCACACTTCTACAGTGCTTGGCTTTATCCCTTACACTGGTTAACATCTCCATGAAACCGTGCTGGGAGAGGCCGCCGGGAAGTTTGGGCTGATGACGCTCGCGCACTCTGCCTCTGACGTGCATCTGACCCAGGTCTCTACCCAAAATAGGTGTCTGGACTCGGTAATGGACTGGATGAGGGCCCATAAGCTGAAGCTCAGTCCTGATGAGGCGGAAGTGCTGTCGGTGAGTAAGCCTCCATTCCAGCTTTGCAAACCTGTCCTGCGTGGGGTCGCACTCCCCCTGCGGGACGAGGGTCGTGGGCCGGGATGCCCCGGACTCCAGCGTGACTCCGATTCCAGTAGTGCCTTTTCTCAGCGCCGACACTATTGAGTTTTAGGCACCTGATGAAAACGTGTCTCTTTCAACGCACCCATGGCACTACTTAAACTATGTATTTGACGGCACTGGTTTTAATGTCAATTTTATTTATTAATTGTATTAATTTACATTTTGTTTGATTTTGTATATTGTGTTTTATTTTGTTTACCTATTATAACTTTTTAACGGTATTATTTTATTGATGTTTTATTGATTTTTATTGTAATGACTGCCTGGAGCGTATAGTGCTAAAGGGGTGGTTTTATACAAATTTAATAAATAAATAAAGGAACTTAATTCTGTATTTTAATGTATTTAATTAATTTAATTAAGACATTTATGTGTCATCCTTTGCAGCGGCCTCAGGACGGCTTACAAAAATTTTATTCATAATTTATTTCATTTTATTATCTAGTTTATTATTGTACCTGTTATGAATTGCTCTAACCACCCAGGGAGATTCAGCTATTGGGTGATACAGAAATGAGATATTTATTCCCCAATATTTGCATGTTTTCAGATGTTGTTATGGAGAAACCCCGTTGCTAGAGTGAATAATATGGGCCATTGCAACCGTGTGTCACTGGGGTGGGGATCAAGTGCGCTGTTGACTCGGTTTTCTTGGCACTCGGCTTCTGAGCTGCACTGCGACGGAGGCTCTGGGTGAGCAGCTGCCTCTGGATATTCTGCTGCTGGAGGCATCTTGCAGCGCACACTCTCCTCTACCCCTTGCAAGTACTCGGGGCCAGCCAAGCTGCTTTCTCACCCGGAGCAGAAGATCCTACAAGTACCATCCCTTGCCTGGCGGCAAAAATGCAACATTAAATGAAATAACTAGCAAAGTGCCACTGTTCAGGCCTAAAACCGCCCTGCTTTAGGCAGCCTCTTCCCTGCCCGGGCATCTAACTTGGCCTCTTAACTTGGACGCTCCACCAAGTAAGTGGGCCTTCCTTCTAAGTCAAGGTGACAAGACTCATCCGACTTAGTTTTAACATGTTGAGGACTCTGTTGTTTTAGCATTCTGAGAGATTTTAACCCTGGTATAGAATAGAAACCTAGAACAGTCGAGTTGGAAAGGACCAGGGAGCCACTGGGTCCGGCACCATGCTCTGCTCGGCACAGAAGGCCAAGTTAAACCATCCCTCGCTGAGGCCTGTCCCGCTGCCTTTCGAACGCGTCAGGCACGGGAGAGCCCACGGCCTCCTTAGGCTACTGGTTCCATGATCACAGTGCTGTACCTGTCTGGGTGTCTGGACGTTCTTCTGATGTTCAGCCAGAAGGTGGCTTCCATTCACTGGAGCCCTTTATTCCCTGTTCTGCCCTTTGGGATGATTGAGAAGAGAGCCTGGCCTTCCACTTTGTGACAGCTTTTCAAGGACGTGTAGAGTCCCGCCAGAGCTCCCTTCATTCCTCTCTTTTCAAGGCTAAACCTGCCCAGTTATTTCAGTCTCTCCACATATGGCTTTGCTTCCAGCCTCCTGAAAAATACATCCTCAAGTCTAGAGACATGGTCTCTCTGAGTTCACTGGGAGTTACTTCAGAGTAAATGGGTGTATGACTGTGTGTTGTGAGCTGTAGCTGTGCTTCTCCCTCCCAGTAGCAATCATTTCACCAGTGCTTCTTTGCCATATGTCTTTATTTTGCACACAAGTCTCTGAGCATACACAGAGCAAAGTGTGTGCTTCACCCAAAACATTCCTTATGAATCCTTCTGCGTCTGGACCTGGAGGGAGGAGCACTGTGGAGCTGGGCGATCCCTCGGACACGCAACTGGGCCATCCTGTGACTGCGATGACAGTCTCCTCTGGAGGCTGGAGCTCTTCATCGTGGTTTGGCATCCCATCCGATGCCACCTCTCAATCTCCCCACTCGAGATGTTGCTACTTATGGTGGGTCGACTGGCCTCTTTGGCTGCCTGTGAACTAACCTCTTGTACGAGGTGGGCCCTCAGGGCCTTGGACTGTGGCTGGGGCTGGGTCCCTTTCAGCAATAATCTCATTAGCAGTCTTTGCGCTCAGTCCCACCGGAATAGGCAACCCCCCCCCACACACACACATCCCACCCTCAGGTCCGGAGCTGTCCATCCAGCCAGAACAGTGACCCTCTCGCACGTGCCCGAGGTTTGCCAGCGCGTGCACACACAGCGCTGCACAAGCGAAGAGGCCTCAGCGGCACCGCTCCCACTGCAGCGGACGGTTCGGCTTCTGTTCTCCCCCAGCCCCCCGGAAGGGCCAAGCAGGAATAACCAAGCAGCCACCCAGAGAAACACTGCTTCTGTTCCAGTATTTGTGCAATTTGCGTTCTGCCTAAGCTGCATTGATCTACGCAAGCCTTCTAATAGCTTCCTTTCCTCCTTCCCTCCCCTTGTCACACAGGTGTCCTGTTTACCTTACCATGGAAAGGCTGGTCCTCTACCTACTAGTTATGAACACTGCTGTGAAGGCCACAATGTGTCCGACACGCTGCATGTGCCAGACCCTGTCGCCCTCCTTCACCATTCTCTGCACCAAAACTGGGCTGCTGTTTGTCCCTCCCAGCATCGACCAGCGGACAGCTGAACTCCGGCTGATGGACAACTTCATCACCACACTGAGGCGGAAGGATTTTGCCAACATGACGAATCTGATCCACTTGACACTGTCCCGAAATACCATCAGTCAGATTATGCCTTACACGTTTTTTGATCTTAAAGGCCTCCATGCATTGCATCTGGATAGTAATAGGCTCACCTATATCAATGAGGACCACTTCAAAGGGTTAATCAACCTTCGCCACTTGATTCTTAGTAACAACCAATTACATTATATTTCTGCTAGGTCTTTGGATGATTTCATTGACACAGTTGAGGACCTGGATCTATCCTACAACAATCTTGTTACGGTTCCTTGGGAAACTATTGGGAGGCTGTCAAATGCCAACACCATCAGCCTGGATCATAACCTCATTGAAGTTGTCCCTGAAGGCATCTTCTCCAACCTTCACAAACTAGCCCGGCTAGACATGACCTCCAACAAACTGAAGAAGATCCCCCCTGACCCCCTTTTTTCCCGCATCCCGGTCTATGCCAAGCCAAAGGGGTCCCCCTTGTCCGCGCTGGTGCTGAGTTTCGGGGGGAATCCCCTGCACTGCAACTGTGAGCTTGTGTGGCTGCGGCGTCTGACCCGTGAAGATGACCTGGAGACCTGCGCTTCTCCGCCGGAGCTGATGGGTAAGTATTTCTGGTCTATTAGAGAGGAGGAGTTTATCTGTGAGCCACCCATAATCATCCACAGTACTCCAAAGCAAGTTGTCATGGAGGGACAGAGCGTGTCCCTGAAGTGCAGAGCTGCAGGTGACCCCGAGCCGTATGTCCGGTGGATTTCGCCCATGGGGAAGCTGGTCACCAACACTTCCCGGACAGTTTCCTATGACAACGGAACCCTGGACATTTTGGTGATGTCTGAGGAGGAAAAGGGCACGTACACGTGCATTGCCTCCAATGCTGCCGGAGAGTCAACCGCCCCAGTCGAGCTCCTGGTCAGCCCGCGCCGTCCGCACCCGCACCTCGCTAACAGCACGAACTGTGACAAGGAGGCCGAGCCAGGCCCCTCGGACGTCCTGGTCTCAGCCAAGTCCATCTTCCCCAATGAAAGCAAGCCTCGCCGGGAGAGGAGAGTGGCCGTGGCCGAGCTGACCTCTTCCTCTGCGCTCATCCAGTGGCCTTCGCAGCACCACGTCCCAGGAATACGAATGTATCAGATCCAGTACAACAGCTCTGCCGATGACCTGCTGGTGTACAGGTAACACACCTCTGTGAGATCCTTTGCGATGGTGATGAGGAGAGGAGGTGGGGAGAGACGGGTCTGTGTGAGGACCTCATTTCCCAGCTGGTGCCTCTGCAGTGAAGTGGCCAAACTCCCATTTCTGTAACAAGGCGCATGAGCCAGAAGGGCATCCCCAAGGAAGGGTGGGGACCAGCATGGGGTGCAAGAGAAAATATATTTCTTAAACTTCAGAGGTGCCTTTTGTGTGTGCCAGCTGGGTATTTTACTAGAGGACTAGACTAGTCATGATGGAAGCAAAGTCTGCACATTTGCAGCAGTCTGGGGAAGGTGCCCCCACTGGTGACAGTTGCTCCTTGGACAGTGACCACACGCCCGGCTCAGGTGAGCAGTTTGTGCAGAGACAGGACTTGCTGCAGTGCTGGCCCTGCTGGGCCTCCCCCGAGGTGGCTTTTTACATTTCATGCCGTCAGGGTGACTTCTCATCCCACCCTGTCAGCTCCTCAGTTTGCAGAACTAGGGGGAGAGGACCTTCCCTGCCTAGCCCCAAGGAAGAGCGCACCTGGCATATGCCAGATGAGGCCTTTATGGTGGAACGGGGCAGCCTCTTTCATGGACCCCCAGCACAGGGAGAGACGTCACAGGCATCCTTTTGCAGCCCTTTGTCTTTTCGAAAGGCATCTTTCTTCCCTTTTCTTACCAGAAAAAATTATTCAGGAAGAATCGATGGAGAAGCTGCACAGGGCCCTTTGGTGGTTCATGTGGGAAACCCTGTGTGTGGGTGCGCCACTGGTCGTGCCTTGGTGTGCCTGGTGCAGGAGCCTTGCGGGATCAGCTGGGCCTTGCCTTGGGGGTAGTTTGGTGCAAAGAAGGAGAAAGGGCCCCCTCCCCTCTCTGTGCCCTGGAAGTTTCCCCAGCTGTGCTCGTGTGTGCTAAAGTGGGGAGGACTTGGTTGTTCCAGAGGACGGTGGTGGCGGGTGCAAAAGAAGCCATTGCCCTGCTGGAGAACGATAAGAAGCGTTTGCAGCTGCACACATCACGCAGCCTGCGACTGCCCTCATGTTTCAAGCACATTGAACTGAAAGAGACTTTGCATTGCACTGTGCCATGGAATTCAGTGAGGTTTAGGTGTGTCCTTGCAGCCCAGCGCTGTGCTTCTCAGCCTTGCCTTTAGCTGCAGCCGCGCCAGAGTCACGTCAGTGGAGCAAAGCAAGGTCAGGGAGTTTGCCCAGCACATGTGTGGTCCGTGGCACTTATGGGAAATCTGACCTCCCGTTTTCCACTCAAAGATGAAAGAGCAGCAGATGGTGCATAAACAGCATTTCCCGCGCTGCCTTCAGATGGGGAGGCAAGAACCATGGGGAGAGGCAGTGGGGCTGAGCCGCGCTTGTGGCCTCCAGGGGTGTGCCCAGTGATCCTGCAGGCTCTGTGGGCACGTTACTCTGTGCAGATGCTAGAGACGTCCTGCACCGTGAGTCGACCATCTCTTGCAGCCACCAGACACAAAATCGCCGGTCTGTTGCCAGGAGGCCCGCTGACTCCCCCTGCTGCCGGGGGCTGTGCGTGGCCCAGGGTGCTGATGCTGCTGTCCTTTGCAGGGTGATTCCCGCGGCCAGCAAGTCCTTCTTCCTGACTGATCTGGCTGCTGGGCGGGACTACGACCTTTGCGTCCTCGCTGTGTATGACGACGGCGTGACATCTCTCACAGCGACCATGGTGGTGGGATGTGTGCAGTTCACCACAGAGGAGGAGTACAGGCAGTGCCAGTCCCTCCGCGCCCAGTTTCTCGGTGGGACAATGATCATCATTCTCGGAGGCGTCATCGTGGCCTCGGTTCTCGTTTTCATCTTCATTCTCCTGGTGAAATACAAAGTTTACGCTGACCATCACAAAAACAAGAACGCTAAAGTGATCCACGTCTGTTCTCAGACCAATGGCAGCCAAGGTGGCTGGCTGGCTCCTTCCAGCTCCAAACCAGCCGAGGGGCTGCAGCAGGACTGGGCAGGCATGCCTCTCAGGGACCACGCGGCACTCAGTGTGGCGTGCGAACGAGCCACACCTGCAGAAGCGGTGGCTCCGAGCAGTCAGTAGCTGTGTGGAGCCAGGCAAGTGGCACAGAAGAGCAACCTGTGTGGTTATATTTTAAGCTTCACTTCTATTGTCTATTTTTAAGATCAGATGGTTAAAAAACTATTTTTTTAATCTGTAAAAGTTCTTGCATTCTTAACTATTTTTGTTGCACTATATTAATTATAAAGTGTGTGATTTGCAAGGTTTTTATTTTTTTTTCCTGTGAAATACTAGCAATTCAATCTGGATCAGGGCTGGCAAAAAGCTGCCGTTGGTGCACTCCCCCAGCCCTCTAATGAGGCTGTTCCCTCTGGCTTGGTGGCATTGTACTCACGGGGCAGCAGCAGGAGCAGGTGCTGGGCGGCCAGCGATGGCGCTCAGCTCGGACACCTGTCCCTGTCAGCAGCCACTCAGCCTGCCCCTGCTCTCCTCCTCCTGGGCCATGAGGCGGCGGCAGTGGGGCTGCTTTCCCTCTGCTTTGCAACATAGCCAGGGAGGAAGGTGCCCTTACCGCTAAGAAGGACACAGGTATTGGAGGTGAGGAAGTTGCTAGCCCATTGCTTAACAGGGGCTTGATTTAACAGGAAGGCAAGGCTGGCAAAATGACCGTACTCCTAGATTCTGCTGACCTGGAAGGTGATCGCCTTCTCCAAGCGTCTAAGCACTGCGTCATGAAGAAAAGGACTAGCCAAACAGAGCACAGCACATGGCTTGTTGTGACAGTTGGGGATATGAACCCTGGTTGCTTTTACTATATCAGTCGTTTACTCGAGTGCACGTGCTGAGGTATGATTCTCGTACAGCAAGGGAAACCTGCATAGATCTCCTTTGCCAGACTGGGTCAGTGGCCACTAAAATACCGAACACTCACTTTAGGTCTGCTTCTAAAACCAAAGGCTATTCCTTTTGTCTAGATTGGCCAGCTGCGTTGACCCAAAGGCCCAGCTGACTCAGACAAGCACATCTGGGCTAGAAGTGGGCTTCCAACCTGCTTGCCTAGATGCCATTCACTCTCTGCCATACTGAGCAGGGGCCGTGTCCCCTTGCCTTTTCCATCTCTGCTGCAGTTGGGCATGGCGTCAGCCCCTTAACTGAGGCAGCCATCCCACCGTCAGGACCGGGTAAGACGCAAGGACTTTGTTGCACATCCACTGACATCACAGCGAGAATGTCAGAAGAGGCTGCTCCATGTGGAGCTGCTCCATTTTCCCCAGGTAGTCAATGGACGCTGGGGGCAAAGGAGAGCAGCTGCTGCTGATTCAACCCCCTCCCCTTGCCCTGCTTCCGGAAGCACTTACTGGGCCTGCAGCTACCAACCCAGAAAAGAAGGGAAAAGGCAGGCAGGACAGCAGATGACAAATGGCTGCAGCAAGCGTGCATGAGACTTCCCCGAAAGGGGCTGCTGGACCTCAGCTTTGGGGGAGCGTGCAGGTGCTGCCACCATCCAAGCCTGCTCCTGCCCCCCAGGCCACGCAGAGCATCTGGATGCCCCCAGCACAGCTGTCCTTTGCAGCCATGTATGTGATCCTAGAATCCCAACAGCCAGTAAGCCGGAGTGGGTTGTTTTGCTGGATGCCAACCCCTTCAGCTTTCCCGTCTGATGGAGAGGGCTCTCCACACGGCTCATGGGTCCCTGGCTTTCCGAGACGCATGCTAGCGGTCCTGGGGACCCATCCCTGGACTGCTGATGCTGTGGATTCTTTGTAGCACAGTCGACTTGGAAGGGCTCAAGAAGGCCATCGGGTCTACCTCCTGCTCAGTGCTGGGTGCTGTGTCGAACCATTCGTCTTGGAGACCATTCACTCTGCCACAAAGCAGGGACTTGCGATATAGGAATGCGCATGCAGGTCGGCATTCCTAACGAAAGAAACCGCACACTTGATCTCGGGGTCATCGACATCCCTGCTGTTCTCATGACCCACTTAGGAAGCACTGGCTAGACTTGAGGTGGCTCAAAGCCAACAAACCAAGGACCTTGATAATCGACATACAGGGCAGCAGGGGGGCAGATCCAAAGATGAGGGGATACCCTGCAGCACTAAGTAGGGAGGAATGCTGTTCCTTCTGTTTTCCCATTTATCATTCACTGGGCAGAGAAGGGCAGCAGGTGTTCCCCTGGCAGCTGTTTTCTGATGGCTACCACATTTCCCCAGAATGCATTGAATATGAAATCATTTTGCATCAGGAGTTAGAATTGGTTCAGCGAACGGTCGCAAGAATAGCAGCCAGGTTGGGAGGGATGACATGTGAGGAGACATTGCGGGAAGCAGGTCTTTTCAGCCTGCAGAAGAGGAGACTCCAAGGGGATCTTTTAGCGACTACAGGAAAAAGTAAAAAACGAGCAAAAAAGAGTGGAATAAAAGCAGGGCAGCTGCTAAACACAAGAGTTGACTACAAAAGTCCGAACTAGACAACGAAGACTAAGTTGCAAAGGTGCTGAGCGAGCGCCTGTCCTCGGGGAGATCCGATCGGCCTGTAGGCTCCCCCGGCTGGAATGGGCTTCTTGGAGGGGATGGGCCCCCCGGCTGAGCACAGACCAGCACTGCAGGGCTGGACGGTCTGGAAAGGTGGCCCCCTACGAGCCCACGAAACCTTCCACGGGGCAGTCTGTCCGGGACTGCCCCCATCAAGGCTAGGGCACGGAGCCACCGCCCCAGGGGCCAGAGATGCTCTGCCGGGATGCCCTGCTCCGGCGACCCCCAGCGCGCACAAGCGCACCGGGGCAGTTAGGGCCTCAGCGGCGAGCCTGGAGTGCCCTCCTGTGGCCACCGCCGAGAATTGCGGCCTCCTGCGCCCGAGAGCCCCGAAAGACAAGATAAACTAAGATGAGGCTTTCACCAGCCTTTTATCTCATGACCCCTCAAAGACCCCTCTGAGGGGTCTTTCAGGATAGAGGAGAAGAAAAAGAGGAAAAAAGAATGAGAAAGGAGGAGGGAGAAGGCAGGCACCCATGGGCATCAAGGCTAGCCCTTCCCACAAAATACTTTCAGCTCTTCTGTCCCTTGGCTATAGTATATATGAAAATAATCTTGGACTTATAGTCTGAATATAGATCAGGTGAAAATAGATCAGTACGATGCTATGGATGCAAAAAATCAAAAAGGAAATGCCATTTTCATTTGCATTAACTGAGGTGTGCTTTTCTAATCATGTCAAATAATAGTTTCATCCCACTATGTGCCATCAGGCCTCACTTGTATTACAGAAATCTACACTCAGCAACGAACCTTTCTGAAGCTTGCCCCCAATGCATGGGCCCTCAAAGGCCGCTCCCCCCCCCCCC